ACTTTAAAAGAAATATTTTTAGAATAATTTCTTTTAAAAAAAATATTTCTGTAATGATTCCTTTTGAGAGAAATATTTCTATATAATTCCTTTTAAGAAAAATATTTTTAGAATAATTCTCTTTAAAAGAAATATTTTCAAAATAATTCTCTTTAAGAGAAATATTTCTGAAATGATTTTCTACAAAAGAAATATTTCCATAATGATTTCTATTAAGAGAAATTTTTCTGGAATAATTTTTTTCAAGAAAAATATTTATAAAATAATTTCTTTTGTGAAAAATATTTCTAAAGGTATTTTTCAAAAAAAAATCATTTTTAAAGTAATTTTCTTGAAAGAAATCATCTTTATGACTTTTCTTTTGAAGAAATCACATTCAGAGATATTTTTTTGATGGAAAATTTGAAGAAAAATACCTTTAATGTGATTTTTCAAAGATTTATACTTCTGAAAGCATTTTTCTTAAAGAAAATTACTTTTAAGGTATTTTTTTAAAAAAAAATACTTCTAAAAACATTTTTTTTGAAAAAATTAATCACTATTCCTTAATTTGTCAGGATCTGCAGGCAAATTTGCTTGCATAATTTCTGAATTTCACGTCTCATTTATTTTTTTGAATTTCTTAAATAATTTGATAAATTTTTTTATTTTCGTATAGCCTACTTTATGAACTTAAGTTTAAATCATTATTTATATTTTTTTTATGATTTTAATATTATTATATTATTAATTAAATTTTATAATTTTTCATTTTTTGAATTTTCAAAAAATTTTTTCAATTTACCTTTAACGATCATTTTAAATATTCACTGCAGCTATATATATGTTAGACTAAAATTGTAATATTTGATATATTTTACAACTTTTATTATTACAAAAAAAAAATTTTAAAAATATAAATATAACAGTTATTATTAAGAAAAAATGATTATTTATTCAATACAAGTATGAAAATCTTTAAAACAATTTGGTCTAGATTTATTACAACATAATACTATACCGCAGCTAGAACACCAAATTTGAGATTAAGGTGGATTTTATTGAGATGACAAATTATTTTTTCTAAAAAGATATCAGCACCATAAGCATCCATCCCTTTTATCACTATATTCAGAATAATAATCATTACCAATAAATCTGCATGCTGGTAATCCAAATTTTGAAGCAACCTAAACTTTTTTTTTATTATCTACTATTTCATTTCCTTCATCATTGTGGAATTTTCTTTTTAATGAAATATCTAAAGTATCTTCAATTAGATTTTGAATTAATAATAATCTAAATGCTTTATAGTCATTTGTAATATTTAATTTTTTGCAAATTAAATATGAATTGATGATCGCGGTATCTAGTAACTAAAAAAATAAAGGAATCCATATTCTAAAAACAGCTAATTGCGTGAAATAATAGCTTCTTAATTGATCTGCAATATCTACTTCTCCCATTTTATGATTGTAATCATCAATTACTAATGGAATAGGTAGAATTTTTCGAATGTTATTTCTAAAAACAGATTTGACTTTATTGCTGTTGGTACTTGTTTCACGTGGTTTTCTACGCTCTCTTTCAATTTTAGAATTTTCTTCATCAATCATATGTATTGTTGTTAACATCATTACTAGTCCATTATCGATCCATAATAAAACTAACACATTCTCTATTGTCACACCGATTAAATGATCCTATTTCAAATTTTTTTTTTCCTTTTCTTTTTTTAAAATTAAAGGAAAATTTGCAGTATTTGTTCTTACTATTCCACAAGCTCCAAAACCCTTATTACGAAGAAAATTAAATAAAGTTACACTTGAGAAATAGTTATCTATATAAATATTAAAAGCATGCCTTGATGGTAATTGTTTAACTAAATGATATACTTCACAACCAGTTCTATTAACATTCGGGATTAGATCAACATTAGATTTCTTAATATGAGACATAAACATAAATATATATGTGTAACCTGATTCACTTAATGACAAAATTTTATATTCTTCGAGAGTGAATTTATTTTTGATACGAAAAGTATATGCACTTCGTCCTAAGAATCGTACAATCATTTCATCGATAGAGACATCTGATGCTGGTAGATAAAGTTACTTTGAAATATCTTTAATATGTGACACAAATGGATCAACTTTTGAAAACCAATCAGGAAGTAACTTTGTACAATTTGAAATATGTAAATAGCGTTTTATCTAAAAAAATAATTTATTATTTATTTAATTTTATTATTAAAAAAAATAATTATTATTAAACTTATTTGTTGAAATTGGAATAATGACATCATTTTAGTAAGTTCATGTGAAGGATAAAAACTATCATTTATCTAATAATCATTAATTGTTAGAAATTTAAATATTCCCATGTATATAACAAGTGCTAACCATATTTTTAATTCATTAATGGTCAAATTAATCTAATTTCTACCTTCTTCACGTTGGTTAGTACCTTGCTTTGCCCCTTGAACTGCAGTATAAATGTTTGTATTTTTAACAATAATATTTAATTGTTTTTCAGAAAAAAATAAACTAAAAATTAAGTAAGGAATAGGATTTTTGATAAAATTTAATTCATTGGGAATAATAGATGAAGCATCATGTAAACGATAAGTATGTTAAAAGAGTAAAAATTCTAATAATGATTTACAAGTTATTTCAGATTTTTTTTGCTTTTATTTTTGTTATTATTTTTATTAGTATTTTCAATTAATTCATCTAAATTTTCTTCTAAATATTCTAAATCTCATTCACAAGTAAAATGACAAATATAAATTTCATCATTTAATAAGAACTCACTTAATGAATTGGATGAGTTAGACATTGTTTAAAAAAAAAGTTCATATTTTGTAATTAAATTTGTCTTTTAGATTTTTTAAAAGATTTGGCTTTATAGTTTCATATGATTTCATATGATTTTTATAAAAAAAGAATTTTAATTTCTAAATTAACTTGCTTGTCTAACAATTTTATCTAAAAAATTCACAGGCAAATTTGCCTGTCCAACAATTATGCATTTTGCCGATCTTAAAATTCGCAGGCAAATTTGCCTGCTTGACAATTTAATGTATTTGCTAATCTTTTCTTAAATTTTCACAGGTAAATTTGCTTATTTAATATTTTGCTGATCTTAAAATTAGCAGGCAAATTTACCTGTCCAATAATTTATGCATTTAAAAAAAAATTAAAGTTCGCAGGCAAATTTGCCTGTCCGACAATCTAAGGGATAATCTATCTCTTAAAGAAAATCATTTTAGTAATTTTTTTAAATTTTTTACCAATGTTGAATAAATAAAAAAGCTTGTAATTAAAGTATTAATTTGAATAATTTTTCTAAAATTATTTATTATTTTAATTTTAAAAAAATCTATTACAAATTTTATTATATCATAAAACAATCAAGATATCCAATTAAATGTTAATTTAACAATAAATAAGAAGAATCTTTAACAAATTTATCAATATTTTAAATTAGATTCTTTAATACATTATTAAAATTGCAATTATTATAAGTTAGTATATTTTTTTTATTTATATTTGAGTTAAAAATTAGTTAATTTTAATTAAATTTTATTATATAATAGCAAAAACTTTAATGATAAAGCTACTTCAGTATTATAGAAATATATGAGAAATAATTATTAAAGTATTATTGAAAGTGAATTAATAATATAAATAAAAGTTTTTATTACAAGAATTTACAAAAAAATTATTTAAGTGAATAGTAATTAAAAATCAATAATTTGTAATTATTGAAGATAAAATTTAAAGATATATTATTTTTTTTAAAATTTGATTTAATGATATTATCAGCAAATACTTTATAATATAATTTAAATGTATTTTTTACACAAATAAAAGAAAATATTTATCAAATATTATAGATAATTAATTTTATTAATAATTAATAATTATAATTAAATATTAATATATATATTAAAATAATTATAAGAAATAACTAGTTTATTTTTATTTATAATTAATGGTTGAACAAATAAAATTTAACTTTCTTTTCTTGAAATTTTAATATATAATGATGGTAAATGCAAAATATTAATTTAGATTTTTGTCAATTATTAGATTCATATTCTGAAAATTTTAATAAATAAATTTTTAGAAGTTTATAAAATTTTAAACTTTTAGCTAAGGTATATAAATTAATTAAAAAGTAATTTTTATATTTATATTTTAATAATTTTATATTTTAATTTTAGATTTTAATAATTATATAATAATATATCAAATATAAATAAAATATTAAAAAAAATTTCTTTAAATTTAAGTGAATAAAATATTAAGTTTAATCTATATTATCAACATATAAGATGTCTTATATGCAGTATATTATTAATATAAGTGTATAAAAAGTATTTAAAAACCTTCATGTATTAGATTTAAATAATAAAAGTATTTTAAATAAAGAAATAAAAACTAATAAACAGATAAAAAATATTATATATAAAGAAAGTTTTTTTATTTTAATAAAAAGTAATTTTAAATTAATTTTTATTAATAATAATTAAATTATTTAATATATAATTTAGTTTAGAAAATTAATAGTAAAAATTTGTGCTTCACTTTAATGATGTAAAAGATTTTCAACAATGTATTGCATTAAACTTTAATAATTAGAATTAATAATAAATATTAAAACTTATTAAAATTTTACAAAAATAATATTAGCAAGAGCTATTTTACTTAAAAATACTTTTTATAATATAATATCATCTAATAAAAATTTTAATATATATTTTTTTAGATGATAAATAAAATTGTATTAAAAACATATAAGAATTTTTATAGGTTTGTTAATTTATTAATAAAGAATGTTTAATTTGTGATCTGTGTAATAATCAGAAAAAATTATCAATTTTAATTAATATCGATCAGGAATAAGAACATATATTATTTTATATAATAAACAAAAAAATGTAAGAATCTCTTTCGCGTTATCTAATACAACTATGTAAACTCTTTCGCATTACTCTTTACTATTATCTAAATATGACAAAAGATAAAAATTATGATGTTTATTTAGTTTCAGTGGAAAATATTAATTCAGAATTATACTTTGAACCTTTTTCACACGAATGGTGAATAGTTTGCAATCAAAAAATGAAATTTTTGGTTCCTATTCGTTTACATATAAAGGTAATAACTCTTTTAAATAGACATGACTTTATTTTAACAGTTGTAAAGGTAATAAAGAACATTCTGAACAGCCAGGATATATTTGCACTTGTGAATCTTTTTATACTATGGAGCCAAGTAATTCTAGTAACAATGTGATATCTACAGTTTATCAACAGTTGTTTTATACTAAAACAAGATTTTCAGGTCCTATGATAATGGGATTTAACAAGTCAGCTATTTGCAAAAAATTATTGGAAGGAGTTTTATTTCATCTATATTTTATTAATCTTGAGCTGATACACGTTTTTGTATTTAGAATTGCAAGATCTGAAAATGATCAATGAAAATATGTTAGAATTAGTTTTAAGTCAAGTCTTTTGTTTCAATTAGCAAAGCAGCATTCTTTATTTCTTTAAGAATTCAATGAAAATATATGTAGAGTAACTATAATATATAAAACAAAAGTTAAAAAAATATATGTGAAAGCATGCCTGATCTTATGTGGAAAAAATTTTTAGTGAGCAAGGAACAAAAATTGCCAAATTAAAGACATTTATTGGAAGAGCGTTATTTAAAATTAAAAGTACTATAATACAACGATTAATTCAAGCTATAAAAATTCCTTCTTATTCATTAAGCAATTGTAATAATGATGTACTTATAGAACAAGTTTTTTTTTACCATCTCAAGCGGTGAACTATCAGTAATATTGATTGGCATAAGTTTTTAAGCAAATAGTAAAAACAGGAAACAATAATTGAACTTTATAGTAATCTAAAACAATTATATCCTATAAATTATAAATTTAATGAGCGTGAATTAAATACATAGAGAATAATGCTTCGCAATATAGGATGTTATGATATAACACCATTTTCAAAGTAAGATTCAAAGGTAAGAATAAAATAATAATTATTTTTTAAAAAAATATTTTCTAACTATACAATTTATTACAGTATGAATTTTGAACAAGATCATTAAATCCCAATATCAAAAAAGTGCATTAAAATAGCTATATGAACTTGGTTTATTGATATCACAACCAATAAACTCCTATGATGCATCTAATACATTTTGGGATTGCTTTCAAAAAAGTCTAACAATCAATAAAAAAGGAGATAATGAAAAACAAAGAATATTGTTCATAATCGCAAATAATTTCAAATATAAAAATCTTCAGAAGCAATTATCAGTATATATTAATAAAGTAGTTGATTTTGATTTTCATTTTGCTAAATTATTCTACATTAGGTTTCAAATGATTTGATATCAAAAGCACGTATTCATTGTCATCTTAATGGGCCTGGTGGTTCTCCAATGAAAAAACCTTCTTTTACACGTGAAAGGCTGTCTAGTAAAAAATTGCATGAATTTGAAAATTTTATTAATGACAAAGCGTATGTAATTATGAACTCATATAAAACAGATAGTTAAACTGATGTATCAGTCAAATACTTTTGTGATACCAAGCAAGCACTTTAGGAAAAATTTCATGCTGAATTTTCTAATGGAGTTTATCATATAACCTTTATGATAAAACTACAAGAAAATGAATACATATATCAAAAAGATTTAGGCAGACTGTGTTCAACTTGTAGCCAATATGGATATGAGATATTTGAAGATATTAGAAAACTTATTGAAAATAAGTTTATGGATGACATAAAAAAGGTATTTAGCTAATAAAATTCTGTTTTTAAAGATACTGTATATTTCTGAAAACAAGCACCCTGTAACACACTCCTTTTATAGTAATTTATTTATTTGTCACATAGAATTTATTATATTATTTGTCACGTATATACTAATAAATTCATATATATCACGTGGTGTTTATTTTTAAAGGAATACGGTAATTTGCTTAAACATATTATTTTATTTATTTAGAAACAATTTCTTGATGAGTTGGAAAGATTATAACGATTTTTGAAGCGAAATTATGAAAAAAATCTGATTGTTGATAATAAAGGAATAATAAAGCATAATCCTTGTATTAGTTATTGTTTACTATAGGTATTTGGAATTTGTACAGAATATATATATGCATCTCAAGAATGTACTGAATTATTTATCTTCTTTAAACATCTTAAAAATCAGTTTTCTACAGATTTGCATGAAGATCTTGATAAATATTAAAACCATTTATTATATTATTTTGCTCATCAAGCCTATAAAGTTTATTTAAATGCTTAATTCAATATTAATCTACTGGATTTAGATGAGAATGGTGCTGTATTAATTGTTGACTATAAAATGAAAATACTTTCAAAAAGTGCTAGAGAAACAAAAGCTGAATTTTTTGGAAAAAAAAGTTAGACGTTACATACAATTATTATGTATACAAAAAAGCCAGGATATCAAGAGCTTGATGTTTATGCTTATGATCATTAGTCTATGGATGTACACTAGAACTCTTAGTTTATAGCTTCATCACTCTATACCGTAATTAAATCACTAGAAAATAAGCTGAAGTAAATCACAATTATTTCAGATAATGGTCCTTACTACTACAATTCTGATCTAATGATAATTTTAAGAAATTGATTAGAATGGTACCGAATAGATGTAAAAAAATGGATATTCCTGAAAGCAGATGAAGTAAAAATAATCATTGACAGTCATCATACACAGGTACTAATAATAAAAAGAAAATAAAATAAAAAATATAATTTACTTACATAATGAGTATTGATATTTTAGATTACCTATGCAATAAAACGTCAAGTACGTCTTAGATTAGATATAATAGAGGATACTGATATTGAAGCTGCAATTAGAAATATTTATGGAACATCTGTTGTACATTTGGAATTAAATCAAATAAAAGGTGAATTTTAATTAAATAAAATAACCAAAGAATTATATTATCTGATTTTGACTTACTTTAGATCAAAATAAGAAAAAAAATACTCTTCCTGGTAATTCTAATTTACTTGAATAGACTTGGCCAAGAGAAGAATCAATGGTAGGCTATATTCTTTATCGAGAGATTCCTAATGTTGGAAAATAGATAAAATTTTCACCAGCACAAATAGTTAATTTGTAGAAAAAACAATTTGTAATTCCCAAACCTATGATTTCAACTTATACAATTCTCAAAAATAAATGGATAGTCACTATGCCAAATTTATCAGGTGTATTACCTCTTCAGTTAGTCAGCTTTCATGAATATTATTTAACCTACATTTTGCCTCTGATCTAGGTATTGATTCTAAAAGATTAACAAGAGAACAATTATTATCTGAATTGAAAAAACAAAATATCAATGTTATCAATACTGCTAATGCTAAAAGAGATGAACTGATTAGAGAATTAGAACTGACCTTGATTAATGAAACAGAAATAATACAATATGGTAAGAAAAGAATTTTATAAGAAATATTGAAACAAAATGCTAATTATTGTTTGTTTTTGAAAAAGATTCTGAAAATCCAGCAAATCAAAATATTATATGGTATGTATACTTTTTTTAAATGCATATTAGTTATTTACTAATTAGAAACTTACCTATTCAATAGAAATTTCTTTCACAAGTTTCCTTTGGAGTCTAGATAGGTATTAAAAAGTAAGCAAAAATATGGTAAAAAAAGAGGTGAAAAACGTATATCTAAAAGAGTATGGAAACTTTTAGAAAAATATTTTTTGGAAGGAAATGTTGATAAAAGTAAAAGATTTATCACTACTACTATGTTAGAAAATCTCAGAAGAAAAGTTAAAGAAGAGTTAAATGAAGAAGAAATTCCAAAACTACAAACTATTCAAGGTTGGATATCCCGTTATTCAGCATAATATTGCCAAAAAATGGCAGAAATGTCTTTAATATGTTAGGAGGTGTATCAAGCTTATAATAAAAATAAATAAAATAAATAATAAAATAATAAAATAAATATGAAATAATAATATAAAAATGGTTTTATAAAAGAATATATAAAAATATTATAAAAAATTATAAAATCTTAGTTTAGTTATTGTTGAAATTGCAAGTTTACATTAGCTTAGAATCTGCCTTTCCCTTAAATTAAAGTCATTGAAAATATTATTAAAGCATTGATAAATAGAAATTAGATAATGTTATGTCATAATGATGATAATTGGCTAATAAATTGGTCATGTAACTATAGGTCAGGTGATTTTTTAATAATATATCAAAAAATGAAATAATTTCATTTAGACTAAATAATCTATAAAAATTCTCTCGATTTAGTATAGTAATTTTTTCTGATTATTACACAGATTACAAATTAAATTTATTTTAAATATTTAACAAATATTTTTTTATTTAGCTTTTTAAATAAGATTAGATTTTATTACTAATCAATTATATCCTATATTTTTATATAGTTTTTGAAGATATAATTAATAACAATATTAATAAATTGAAAAATTAAATATGCAGCTAAATTAATAAAGAAATTAACAGATTGAATTAATTATATTATTACTATAGATTAGTTATTTATAAACTTAAATAAATAAATTATATATATTTTATTATTAATTATTATTATAGTAATAGATTTATGATTAAAATTACAATATTATGAAACTAATAATTAGAAAGATATTATATTAATAAAGTCAAAAATATTATAATAATTATTTAAGAAAAAAATATAAAAATATTACAGATGCTAATCTTTTTTCTGATAATTTAAAAGATGATATTCTTAATTATATATTTAAAAAAAGAAAAATATATCATAAATATGAGCTTAAATTTTATCTTAAAAAGCTACTTATATTAAATAAAATAGATATTTTATTATAGTGAAAAGTAAGTATAATATTTAAATATTATTATAATAATATATTTTTATATTTAATTAATTTATTAATTTATAAATATTATTATAAAGCTTTATGAAAATAAATATCCAAATCTTCTAAAATAATTAAAGTTTACTTAGCTATTTTAAGTTAATATATATTATTTTATAATTTATAATTACTTATATAAATTTTATTATTTTTTTTTAGTTACAAATACAGTAATAGAAAGAATATTTTTAGGCAAAATAGATTTAGTAATTTAAAAAAAGATGTAATTTGAAAAGTAAAATAATTAATAAATGTATACAGTCAACTCTTGATATAGTAAACTCTTGATATAACAAATTTTTTGAATAAATATAATAAAAATACTCTTGTTATAGCAAATTGGCCAATTAAATCTCTTAAAATCTTCACTATAGCCTTATAGGAAAGTTGAGGTCTAGAACATAGAGTTCGTTATAACAAGAATTGACTGTATATCTTAAAAGATAATAAAGATTATTATAAAGAAAAAAAATTATTTTATTTTTAAATTATAATTTAGTTTAGTTTTTTATTTTATATAAACAAATTAAAAAAATTTAGTTTTTTAAGTTTTATAAAAGTTTTTTATATCTATTTTTTTTTTTAAAAAATTTTTTAACTTTTTATAATTATTCTTTTTGCAAATTAAAAATAAAGATAAATTCATTTATTAATATAAATTTAATAGCATAATATTAATAAAATTAAAAATTTTTTACTGGAATAAAGAAAATAATACCAGATGTATTTTTTAAGAAAATCGCATTAGAAGTAAATTTTTTTAAGAAATTATTTTAGAAATAAAATTCTTATAAGGTAGTGAAATAATTCAGATTATCTGCGGATAAAATTATTCATCTGTCAATTAAAAAAATTATCTAAATAATAATTATATATTCGCTGAAAACTAAATAAATAATTTACAAATTATAAGCTAAATATCTGTGAATGATCAATAGATAGTAATAAATCTGCAAATATTCACATATTTATAGATAAACTTAATTATATCCAGTCTTTTTCTAAAAAATTATATACATATTTATATTTTATATATTTATTATTTTCTATTATTATTTATTTTATTATAATTTTATTATAATTAAAGATAGCGCTGCAACTGGTTACAACTAGTGACAAATTAGCATCACATAGTTGCAACTAGTTGCAGTACTATCTTTAATTATAATTATACATAAAACTAAAATTAAAATCCAAAAGTTAAAATATTTTGACTTTAAGATCATAGTCGAAATTAAAAGTTAAAATTAATTATAAGAGTCAAAATGGTTAAAATAACGATCATTTTTGAATATGATAATCAATTTTATATTTAAAACATATTATTACACAAAATATATAAGTGTAATAATGAAAATTACCAAAAAATAATTTGTATAAATAGGTATCACTATAAAAAGAAATAATTTGTATAGCTATATATACATTTGACATAAATGGTAATGAATAAGAAGATATGATCTTTTGTGAGGTGATTGGGTTTCTTTTTTTTTGACTTTTAATAATGTAATATTGCTATGAGTTTTATTAATAATTTTAAATGTATTAATTAATAAAATAAAAAGAATACAAATAAAAAATCTAAACTAAAAATACAGCTACCTCTCATGATTCTATTTCAAACCTGTTTGAGTTAACTTATCACCAGTTATCCTCCTCTAAGATGACTACTAGAACCATTTCTAATGAGCAACCTATTAACAAAAAAAGCTAGTAAAGGTATTAATATTATAATGTTTTTTTTTTAATAATCTATTAATCTTCTAATCAACAAAAATAAACAACCTCTAGAACATACAAACCTAAGATTAATTTTTGAAAAAAAAAGTTAAAAAAGACAACTGATTCTAATAAGTTTCTAGTTAAGTTGCTTGATTAATTTATGGTTATTTTCTAGTTATAGCAATCTTTTAGTATAAAAGCGTCTATATTATTAAGTTCTGTTAGAGGTTTTTTGGTATTCTCAAACTTCTATATTAAGATATTTATCAATTCAGATTATAGCTATCGACAGGCATTACATAACATAGTTGAAAAAATCAGAAAATTTCACTAAGATCAACAGGCTCTATGACGTTAGAAATCTTTAAAAGAATATTATTATTTATGAAGATAATTGGATAATTATTATATGAGATTTGTTTATGCTTAAAGTTGTATCAATCCTGATCATTATTTCAGATACTTCTTGATGCTCACTTTTTGTAGGTAAAAAAGAAAAAGGAAAATAAATGAGAAAAATATTTAAGAGAAATAACAAAAAAATAATTTAACAATACCACCATTTGAATTAATAATGAAATATTTTTTGGATGAAGATATGAAGAATAAAGAAAGGAAAAATTTTGAAAAGAGAAGTTTTATTTTTTACTTGCAGTCTAAGCCTTAATCATCTTTGAATACACACATTTTTTACGTAAAAATTTTTAAACAAAATCCAATGAGAAAGAGCTTTTTAGTGATTAATTTCTTTACATCTTACTATATCCAGTTAGACTTCTAATAAATTTTATTTATTTCTTTAATTCTGCTAAAATTTACCTATTTTATTTCTATTATATTATTTCAGTATAAATTAATTAATCAATAATAAAATTTCCTTTTTAGAAGATTTATAATAACTTAGTACAGCTTGAGCACTCTAGTCGTATTAAATCCTAAATAAAGTGACCAAATTTCTTTAATCAATTTTCATATGATTTTCATGTGATATTCAGTTTAAATTATAAAATTAGCATAATTTTAGCCAGCATTAAAAATATATTTACAGTGCTATACACGTAATTATTTTATTAAGAAAATTGTTTAAAATTAAATATGAAACAATGTATTTAGTATTACCTTATATCTTTTATAATGTTTAACTGTATATTCTGCTTGTTTTGCATTTATCCTTTTTGGTATGCATTCATATATCTATATGATTTTCTTGCAAATGCTCTAATATGAGATAATGGAATTTGATCTAAAGTAATTAGCACAACCTATTGTAAACCAATCCAAGTATAATCATAATTTTTACGAGAATATTTTTTGAATGCTCATAAATACACTTCAATAAAATTCAATTCAGAATGAAATTTTGAATAAAAATTACCTTATAATTTCATTCTTCAATAACTTCTTGAATCATTTCTTTTTAAGTAAGAAAATCAGATTGATTTTCAAGAATATGTCACATGCAATATTGAATACTTTGAGATTTATTATTATGGCAATATTCTATTAAGTCTGGTCTCATTAATTGATGTTTTTCTAAGACTTGTTTCATACCCTTTGGCTTTCTCTAAAGTGTTAGATCCAAATGATTGTTAGAAAAATTCATATATTGAACTTATCTATTAAATATTGTATTTCTCATTTTAGGTTGCTTTTCACTAAGATTTATATTTATACATGATATAACTAGTGCATTAGATATAAAACTATCATGTAATATAAAATTATCAAATACAAATACACTAATAGCATTTGAATGAGTTGCTTTAAATATGAGAATTGTACATTTAATAATCTTAAATATTAATTAATAAAAAATATTATTAATAATAAAATTAATTAAAAAAATAATTATTTACCTGTTCAACTAATTTTTCAACAGTTTACCAACTATCATAATTTTTTTCAGGATTCATTATAATTCGGATTTCATGTGAAATTTTAATTTTAACTTCAGAAAGTTTTTGTTTCTCATTTAATTATAATTGACCAATTGTTTCATAAATAAAATCATTTATATGAATAGCACATCCTTGCCTTTTTTTTTTACAAAGACTGTTTATTATCAGGAGCCTATCTAGAATTTTTTTTGTTATTAGAATGAAAGGTAGTTGTATTATGGATAACAAAAATATGAATTCATTTATCTGATTGCAAATCAGGATTAATTTGAATTTCCAAATTATCATTTTCAAAATCGGCATTAATTTCTGATAACTTTATAATTTAAAAAATAAATAAAATATGATTTGATCAATATTACATGATTGGCATACTTATATTTTCACTTTTTTTAAAAGATTTTCTAATATTCTACTATATCTTCATATTCATAACCATCTACATAATCACCTTTTTGATATTTTTTATAATAATAATCCATTTTCTTAAGCCAGTTTCTTATAGTAATTTCGTTTACAATTATAAATAATAATTAATATTATTTAATAATTAAAATAAACAGTAAAAACTAAATATCTAATTGTTGTTTTTATTTCAATTTCAAGTGATAGAAAAATAGTATTTGTAACATAATTCACAAAATCAATAACATAAAATTCAAATTTTTTTCTCGCAAGTAAGAAGTAACTTGCATTTAAATATCTTTATTATCAAGTAAGCTTTTTATCTTATAATGTTTACCCGCTTAGAAAATAGAATAGTTTCTCTATTTTGTAGTATACAGCTCTATAAACAAAGATATCAGGCAAATTAAGATCCTTTTTTAAGCTATCAAGTAATATTAAGACTGGCTTTCAATTTAGAATTTTAAAATATAAGAAGTCACATATATTATAATATAGTAGTTAATCTTAATTTATAGCCCTTATCTAAATTTTTTTCTTTTAGTTGTATTTCAAAAGAGGTAATAACTTGTTGAAAATTATGAATTAAATCATCATTATTATCAGATTCTTCATCACTTATTTCATTATTTTTGTTAGATTTTGTAATAAAAAAAAATGATTTATAGTTTAACCATTTTTTTCAGTATTTTTCTTTACTTAGATACAATGTCTTCATATAGTCCTTGCAGAATTTTCTGTATAAGTTGATTTACAGGTTAGTGAGATGTAATTTTACATTTGAGTCATTAAAATTTAAAATAAATTTTCTTGATTACTGTCTAAATCATCATCTCTCCATATAATTTCATTATCACTATCCACATCACAAATATTTTCTCATAAACTTTTCTCATTAACTTCTGTATTAATATTTGTTTTAAATATTTTGATATATTTGTTATATTTTTTTTCTACAAGTTTATTTATATGTTTTTTCTTTTTAAAACCCCAGACATAAAAACTTTATTATTCAAAATAGTAATGTGAAAAAAATTACATGTGATTGTATATGTATCATTCAATTTATATTTATATTGATTACTAATAATTTTACTGAATCTTATAATAAAAATTTTAATGTTGAAAAACATTAGAAATTAAATTTTAACCAAAAAATGTGGTGGTCAAATTGAGCATATTTATATATTTTACATATAAATTTTTACTAAAATAAAATGATCATAACTTTTATATATTAATCTGATTTGGAAAATTAAATCATACTTTTATAGTTTTTGATCTATACTATTAAGATATGATAAGTTTTAAAATAATATTTCTTTTTTTGAATTTTATAATCATTTAAAAATAGGGTTCAAGACTTGATATGATTAGGGTGCTTAAGCTATATAATACTTATAAAGATTTTTATGAGAATAAAAATTTTCTTTTTTAGATTTGTGTAATATTATATAATTGTAATTCTGGCCAGCTTTATATATTTTAATTTTCACAATTGATTTTGATCTTCATAATATATTTTAATTTTTATAATTAATTTTAATCATTACAATTAATTTCAACTTTTGTAATTAATTTTGATTTTTCAAATTTATTAACAAATAATCAAAATTAATTTTGAATATTTTGACCATCATTATTATTTTGACCATTTTAATTTTAGTTTTATATATAATTTTAACATTATTATTTATTATAACCAAATTCACATACTAGAATTTTTTAATAGGAATGAATATTTTTAACAAATATTGCACTATTCTTTAGTAAAGTATTTTAAAAATAGATTAGAATAATATTATGATCTAAAAAGTCATTGTAATATTTTGAATTTATTATATATAGATATGTAAGAATCAGGCTATTTATAGTGAAATTTTCAAAAAATTATGTTATATGCAGTATTTTAGGCAATTACAATTTTCTTTATAATAAATCTTAAATTTTTATATAATCATTTAAATATATTAGTTCTTATTGTAAGTATTTATATTATGCTTTATTAAATATTAAAATTTAAATATAAGTTATAATAAATTATTGCAAATATCTGTGAATTTTAATTTACAGATTAGTATTAATTTATAAATATCTATTAATATTTGCGAAAAATCTGCAAATAAATTTTACAAATTCATAATATTTAAATGTGATATAGATATTTACATTATCTGAATATTTGTATTATTTATATAGATTATTATTTATAAATCACTTCTCTACTTTAAGAAATTATTTTAAAAGTAAAGTTCTTTAAAAAAATCATTCTAGAAGTAAATTTCTTTAAAAAAATCACTTTGAAAATGAATTTCTTTAAAAAAATTCAGTTTAAGATGCATTTTTCTTTAAAAAATGTTAATAAATATGTTTTTCTTTAATAGAAATATTACTGAATGTATTTTTTTAAAAAAAAATATTACTAAAGTTATTTTTCTTTAAGTAAATGCTATTAAAATAACTTTTTTTTAAAAAAAAATTATCTTTAAATTTATTTTCTTTAAAGAAGAAAATGCAAGCCAATGAGTTGAGCTATGATATGAGCTAAATTATGATATAAGCTAGCTTGTCTAGCTTATAGTTCATTTTATAGTAATTTAAATTAAGCTTAAATAAATTAACTTGTTTAGCTTATAAGCGGCTCAGCTTATGTAGAGCTCTAATTAACTAAATTTAAGTTTAAATCTAATAAAATAAAACTGATTTATGAGAAAAAATATAAGTAAAGTTTTATTAAATAAAATATATTTTAAGATATTAATTAATAAAGTTTAAAATTTTTGGCTCTTATCTAATTTTCTTTAAAATAAAAATATTTTATTCAAATTTAAAGAAAAATAAATGATATATTAATATAAAAATCTTATATATTAATAAATTAAATTTTAAAATAATAATATATTCTTTTTTTTATTAATTTAATTAATTAAAATCAATTATATTATATAGAAATTTGATTTTATTATAATAATAAAATTCAAATAATAATATTATTATATTAATTATTTATATAAATAAAAGTTTAAAATATTATCATATAAAAATTCTTAATTTTAATTTTAATACATTAAATATTTAATTAATTTATTATAATTACTTTAATTTTAATATTAATTTTCTTTTAATTCTATTATTTATTTATTCTTATTAATTTTATTATATCTTATTAATAAATCGTATTAAATATTTTACTTTAAATCAATTTTTTAATTCAATTAGTTTAATTTAGATTATAAATTTAAAATTTCAGATCAGTTTAGATTTGTATATATTTAAACTAAATTAAATATTTAAATTAATCTGAAATTTTTAGATTAAAAAAAAATATAAAATTAATTTAAGTCACTTTTGATTTATAATTTTAAGATATTTTTATTATCAAAAATAATAGAATATAATTTATTTGTTAAAAAGAAGTTAATAATAAATTTTATTAGAAAAAATTAATAATTTGAACTTATAAAAATAATTTTATTTAGAAAAAAGAATTAAAAACTAATAAAAAAAAAAATATTTTTGAAATTTGAAAATGACTTTTATTTGAAATAATTAACAAAATATTAAAAGCAACTTTTATTAGTAAATAATTAATAAATGGTACTTTTATTATTATAAGAAAATTCTTATAAGATGAAAAGCTTCTTTTATATTGGTATTATCATTTAAAAATCTTGAAATATTCTCTGCTTTGGAAATGGTTAAGGTGATACAAAATGAATAAATAGCTATAATTTAATAATTTATTTTGTTTCTGTATTTTTAATTCCACAAACTGGTAAAACCAAATAATATAACGCATATATAAATAAAAAGGTAATAATCTGCATAGTTTTTTAAGGCTTTTTGTTTCACGTAAATAAATGTAATATGATTGGCTAAATTATTTTATCGTCGATCAAGTCGGATGATAGGCGCAGATCACTTAAAAGAAAATCTGAATTTATTATTTAAAATTAAAAGTTTTACATATAATTTGTTTTTTTTTTTTACATATAATGCATTATTTTCTGTATTGGTTTTTCGTTGAAGAGGTTGCAATGTTATGTATAATAATTGAATTTTTCTAATACAGATGTTATAAAAAGAAATCTGTAATATTTACGCGAAAACTTTCCCCGATATAGAGTAATTCAATGTGAGAAAAGTTTTTTTTTTTAAAAAAAAAACAAAATTCCATGTAAATTCTACACACACTGAGTCAAAAGAATTGAAATTGTTTTTACATTAAAAGTACATTTGACAATCTCGACTCATTAATTACGTGTCATTCACTTCAGTTTTGAAATTGGCGTACTTGAGAAAAATTTCACGTAGAGGTGCATTTAGCCTTGTTTGCACGTTATCGTTTACTATATTGTGCTAATAAAGATATGTTTACGAAAAAAGGAGACCTCTTCAATGATTTACAACATGAACGATTCTTATGTTATGATCTCGTGTCTTTAACTATATTATTATACCTCACGGTAGATTTAGTTGTCACGAAAAAAAAATAGAATGTTTCTGTAATTGACTCGTATCAAACGCTTCAAATTTAAGACAATTCACAAATAATACAAATAAAATTTTTTTCTGATATCAAAAAGGTTTGATGCATAAAAATAATGATTCTCATCATTTGAATTAAAAGTACATACGCCGATTATGTAAGAAAATCATTTGCAGTCAACGGTTTTTTTTTAAAAAAAAAAAATATCGTGAGTCCTAATAAGGGTTAGATTACCTTACCTAATATTTTTCCTCAAGAAACCTATTAAAATATTTCAAAAAAAAAAACCAATTTAACTTTCTAACGAGAGAGAAAAGTGACATTGCATTATTTTTTTTTAAAAAAAAAATTAATTTCATCTTTAAATAGTTTTTCCGATCCGGAAAATTATGATTGAATTCTTTCTTTTCTTTTCCATTCCTTCTCGGATTTCATCATTGTAACCTTTTTATTTATTTATTTTTTATCACTTCTATTATAGGAAGGTTCCAAAACCTTTTTTTTTAGGGGTATCACGTTATTTTTTTTTTTTTTTTTGATCATTCTATAAATCGATTTATCAATCAACGAATAGTTTTTTTTTTTTTTTTTTTTTTTTTTTTTTAAAAAAAAAAATTTTTTTTATTTGGAAAAAAAGATAGAAAGATAAAGAGACGAGCTTAGATATATTCAAAAAAACATCCCTTGCTTTGCTTTCCAACGATACGGGATTGCCAACCCATTTATTTTATTTTAATCTTTATCCTTTTTTTCTTTTCCCTTTTTAACGTTCATTGTGTCGGAAAATTCCCAAACCTTAAATTCTTTTTTTCCATTTTCTTTTTAGGTCGTATTTTCTCATAATAAAAATAAACACATACATACAGTGCATTCAGTGCTAATTCTTGGTTCGTTTAAGGTTTACATCCGTTATTTGAACCTAGAGACATCAATACCTTTTAAGAAACAAAAAAGAAAACAAACATGACAAACAAAAGTTCAATTCGTTGTCATCGACGCGTTGATAACGCAGCGACAGCATCAACCATCGCAGATACTTCCTCTCCTTTGTTACATCTATCATCTTCACCATCAATCGTTGAAAAATTAAGTGTAGCAAAAAGGCTGGATGAGCTAAAAACATCAGTAAAAGATCAAGTGCATTTATTAAATAAAGAGAAAGAAAATCCGGTCATTAGAAAATTGTTAGAGAAAATTATTGATCATTACTCTGATCTTAAAACAATTCTGACCTTACCAGAATTACTAGCACCTGCCACTAAATCAAGGGCGAAAGGAACTCCAAGACCTCAAAATGTATATATTTTATTTCGCAAAGATGTCTCAAAGGGGTTATACATGCTAAATCGTAAAAATGACCTAAAAGGTTCATGCATGGGCAGAGTATCGAAGACTGTAAATTATTCCTCTAAAATTGCTGGATTTCTTTGGGGAACGGTGAAAACATCTCAACATGAATATGAATTTTGGATTACATTATGCCAAATCTCTTGTTTAAAACATTCGGAAACATACGAAAATTATGTGTATCGTCCCATTAGGAAGAAACCTAGGGACGTTGACCGGAATAATTTTCAAGCCACTAAACGTCAACAATCTCAAACTATTACAACTTCAAAAACATCTCCTACTACTTTAAATCACCCGCCTCCAACTTCAATTCTTGAATCGGATATGAATGATATTCCATCCTACAATGATTATTCTGTTGAACAAAGTCAAACGATAGGTAAAATTATTTCTTTTTTCAATGCAAGCAAACAATTAAAAAAATTTTCAAGAATTTAAACCTCACTTATTTTTTTTTTTTTTTTAAAAAAGAAATAGATTTTCACGCGTCCGATATGTGTGAAAGACAATCCCCGATTCTGACCAATGAAAGTGCGCTAATTTCAAGACACATTCCGCGTTCGGTACCTGACCAAGGAATGTTAATTAATCAACAACAAGCACAACAGGAACATCATACAATGATCTCGCAAGAAGCCGAGGTTCCAATACCAACTCAGGGAATGACGCCAAATCAACCAAGAAGGCGTAGTAATGCACAATATCCATCTCCCACTGTGATTACTACGGCGCGATTCGAATTCGCACCCGCTGCGCCACAATACGTCGAAACGCACTCTACTTACGCAACTTACGCAGTGAACTCGCGGTTATCACAATTTATTGGTCACTCTGACTTGACGCTATTTCAACCCGATCACCATTTTTCCACGGGGCTAACGCAGCAATGTTACCAACAATTTGCGTATGCGAACACCTTCGCTCCTCCACCACAACAAATGGGAATTCCTTCAACACCAATTGTGACAATAGAATCACAACAAAATACCATTTCGGGAACATCATTTTCAATTCACCAGCAAAATTACTTAGAATCTCCGTCGCCTCAAACGGCTGGTGCTGATCCCCAATTCTGTTACCCATCACATGAAGATTTGGTTTTTCTAAGCCAACTAGACGGTTCGAGAAGCCATCCGTTTTTATTACACCAGTCCGATTCATATGAATTTAGGGAACATTCCTAGTCCATAACACCTACCTGTATATAAAAGCGTGGTTCTCTAGGAGAGAAATGATCAAATTGTAAATATATCTTATTACAAATAAATCACAATTTTAATTGTTTCTAGTTGAAAATTTCTTTTTTTTTTCTCGTGATATTACAAATTTCATTCCATGAACGGCTTAAAATTTTATCGAGCAATGCTCATATCGTGACTTTACATTGTAATAAATAATTTTCCCTAGGATATTTATTTACACGTTAATTCGTGGTAGTAGAATTGCTGCCTCCTTTAACAAATAGTCCGACGGACTTTCTATCTTTAAATCCACCTACAGCGGCAACCCAAATTAAAACAATCACAAGGGTTGTAGCATAACCTATTAAGTAAGATTGTAACACTAATCTTCTTCCCTTGGAAAACATAACCTTGGAATTGAACAAGAAAATTGAGAGGGGAATTCCAATTACAAGTACGTAAATTATTACTAACAAAGGTCCACGAGGGAATTCGATTGCGACCGACGCATATAAAATCCCAAATAAAATCCCTCCTAATATCCACCAGATGATTCCCTTAAGTGAATCCAATCCATCATGTTTTTGTCTACGATACGCAAATAATTGTGCCCAAGTCATTATCAAATATCCCGTCGCGTACGAGTAATACCCAATCTATAAAAGTGGATTACTTTAATATTAAGGACTTTTATTTTTCTAAAAGCAAGATGATAGATTTTTCGGGTACCTACAGCGACTTCATCAATTTCCTGATTTGGTAATAAATCATTTACAATCGCGATTGCCGTCGAATGCATTCCGCAGCCTTTTCAAGGAAATGAAGTTCCAACTTTTTTTTTTTTAAAAAAAAAATTTAACGAATTATAACGTTATTGATGGTGTTGTCCTACCTTGTGCGTAAATCGCTGCGCCTACCAAAAACCAGATGTTTAATAACGATCGTTCCGTTAAACCAAACACTGACAGAAAAAGAAATTTATTTAAGTTAATGAAATCATATAACGTCAATGTTTGAAGTTAATAATGATAAATACGAAATTTTCGACCCTCTTGTGTAGGATCAATAAACACTTCCGAAGTGATCATGATAAAGTAATGCAGAGGAAGTGAAACCGTTGGTTCCAATATCCCTAAAAAAAAAAAAAATTGTTTATCACTGTATTTTTTTTTTTTAAAAAAAAAATCAATTGCTTACGATATAAATCAGCGACAACGCCATGAAAATTTATAAGAACTGGGGTTACGGTGAACAGTAAAGTCCAGATAGGAGTAATACTTAATAAAATGATAATCCTTCTGTCATGACTTCTTTCACTAAGAGATACTTTCCCGACGTGAATTGAATCATCGGATTTGAATCCAAAAAAATTATTTCGTTGTGGTATCTTTTGCGACGACGCAGGTGATGCCATTCTTCAATTATGAACAACAGATTTGACCTTCTTTCTCTGAAGGATCAAATCACTTTTTTCTTTTGTTATATAAATATAAATATAAATATTTGTATCTTTTCCTTTGTCTGGAAAAAAAAAAAAGTTGAAACAATTCAATCACAAAAAAAAAAAAAAATAATACGTTATACTATCTTATCAAAGTGGCAAAAATCACGGAACGGTTGATCTATTAACTTAACTTTTTTTGATGGGCGCTGTTAATTAAATTAATACTTTTCTCCATATTCATCCTTGTCACACAAGACATGGAAAGTAAGTTACATAATTACATAATAAATAATATATTCCAAGAAATAGAAATAAAATTTCATTGTCAACAAACCATTTGCAAATAGGCGCAGTTTGTGGCGCGGCTTTTTAGATGACATATTTATTTATACTTGTCCTTTTACCCGTTAGAACTAGGCTTATATTATAAAGAAGGCGGAGATTTTTTTTATTTAACTGTACAGAATTGGTTTTTTATTTTTATTTTTTTTTGGCTTTGCTTTTTTTGTCAGAAGCATTGTTCAATAAAGCGAAGCGAAATTATATAACGATTGATTGATCATGAAGCCTCAACATTTACATTAAAAAAAAAAAGATATGATATAAATTCTGAAAAGATCCTGGATGCTTTTTTTTTTTTTAAATAAGACGCGTTTATTTATGTGGCAAGTTTACAAGTAATAAGTACACAAAAATACACAAACAAAATGTTGTTAATTAAATTCCTTTCTCCCTCCTTTCAAACACCAAAGGGACCTTGGGTGGCAAAGCTAAAGGTCCCAACATTTTCTTCTTTGCTACACCGCCTTCTTCGGTTCTAACTTTATATTTTAACATGATTTTATGTAAGAATAACTTCATAGTCATGACAGCGTAAAATCTACCAGGACATGCATGACGACCTCCACCAAAGATTACATAACTTTTGTCGATCTTTGTTGCCGATACATTTTGTGAAAGGAATTGAAATGGTTTAAATGATTTTGGATCTGGTCCGTATTGTGATTCGGAAAATAAACAACCTTCGGAAAAATCGTATACCTGTCGACCTAAAAAAAAAAAAAATGGGGTTTTATTTTTTTTTTTTTTTTAAAAAAAGGAATTTCTTTTTTTTTATTACCTTTTGGAATCGTATAGCCGTTTGAAAAGGTATATTGTTTTGCAACAACAGCATGAGGAGTAACAACTAAATAAACCAATAAATATCTATTTTTAACAAAAAAATAAAAAAATTATAGAAAATTATAATACTAAAAATGAATAATTACATATATCACTCGTATGTCGAAGAGATTCCCTGACAAAACTATCCAATTTCTTCATTTTATCAACATCATCAACCGTAAGTTCTTCGTTGGATTCCTTATCGATTTTTAACGCCTCTTCATATAACTCATCCCAATACTCTGGTCTACTCGCATAATCTTTTTTTTTAAAAAAATCGGTTAAGTGAAAGCAAAAAAAATATATATATATATTATCATTAAAACCAACGTTCTTAATACCATATAAAAGGTTGACGGCACTTCTTCCCGTGGTTATTATACCAACGATAATCATAAAAGCTATCAAGTTTGCCAATTTTTGATAATCTACATTTGTCGAGTCAAAATCTGGATTTGACATATAAAATTCTAACAAATCATCCTACCAAATGTTTAAAATTTCATAACTTTAAGTTTTAATGTTCGAAACGAAATAGCAAAATAATTTTTTTTATATGTTTGGTTATTACATGTGGTTGATATAAATCGCCAAGTTCTCGTTTTTGTTGAATTCGTTTCTCGACTACAGGTTTGATACGATTTATGAGAATGTTTTTGTGTTTGGTTATTGGATTAAATCCAATTAAAAATGGTAACCTGAAAATGTTTCAAAAATTTTATTAATAAGGCTGACTGGTCTTCTTTTTATTTTATTTTTTTTTTTAAAAAAAAAAGAAAAGAAAAAGAAATAAAGAGAATATATTTTACGTAATAAAATATCCATGTAATTTGGGATGAATGAAAGAAAGGATTGGAGGGATTGAAAAGACTTTAAAGATTTCATCAGATAAGGTAGCAAAAGTGTGAGTAATATCATCATAATTCGACGCTTCCTGTATTCGATAAAAAGACCATCTCGTTTGAATTTTTTTTTTTTTTTTTTGAAAAAAGAAAAGAAAGCATTTAAAATACTTGCTTCTCCTACGCAAGTATGCGCAGTTGATTTTGCAACGATATGATTCGCTATGTCCCAAACTACTCTATCATTTCTAGGTTCTAACAAAAAAAAAAAAAAAAAAAATCACGTTTTTATTTTTCGACACCTCAATTAATAAATATTCCCTTTTTACTTGCCATTAGATTCTCCGATCCATTTATCAATACCGTACAAAATGTTTTTCTGAATATTATGGATATGGTATTTTAATTTACCGCTAATCTGTTCTCTAACGGTTTTGGCATGAAAATTAAAGTCTAAATCATGATTTAAGATCACGTGCATAGGAAATATCTGATTTTTTTACATTTAAAGGTTATTGTTCAAAATCCGCAACGTATTAAATAATACTAGATAATCCTTGCGTAGAAATACCTCTTCAAGAACTTCAAAAACATCAAAACTTTCATGAGCTCTAAACACTTCTGGTAAATATTGTTGGGATACAACAGTTGTTACCCTTCCAAATACAATAATATTAAAGGGTTCTCCATACTAAACAAAAAAAAAAAATTGCATAAATTCACGTCACATTTTAACATCTTTATACTGCGATTATCTTTTATACCTCTTTTATACATTTCCTAATAAATTTGTCACTATTGAATAGAAAATCGTACGTATGACCAATCACTGGAATGGTATACGGGACAAGTGGAGGTTCATTCTATAAAAAAATAGATTATCATCATTCTAATATTCTATTAGAAAAATATCGAATTTAAAATTGGTTTTGTACCTGGTTGAGTCGAGGTCTTTTAATATATACGAAAATTATTAAACAAAAAGCAAAAGAAAGCAACGTAAACATTTTTTTTTTCTCTCTAAACCTGTAACAAATATTTTTTTTTAATTTTTTTTTTTTTTATTCTATATATATATATCTGATAAAAAAAATTGATTTGGCGTAATTAATCATCATTTTTGATCATTTGCTTTGATCATTTGGTTGGCCTTTTCAGGAAAGTTTCTCAATTGTTTGTACTGCGGAAATTTTCGATGTTTTTACAAATTTGTTTTTTATAAAAATACTAATAATGATTTTTAATAAAAAAAAAAAAGGTAACCTTTTTATTTTTATTTTTAAATATCAAGTGCATGCATTGACTATTACAAAATTAGGCTTAAAAAAACACTTTAGGTTCCGTCACATGTATCATCGGAATTATGTATGTTTAAAATAGCAATAAGCATGTTGCATTGTAACTCAAAATATATATACGATTATTTGATCTCATCTCATATTTATATAAAAATCTAATAAAATTCGTCTTTATTAATTTTAAATTTTGTACAAGAGTTGTTATCGCTGTATAAAGAATTACAGGTTTTGATCTTGAGGAAATTTCGACGATAT